AAACCCTGGAGCAGTACCAAGTGTGGTTTCTGGGACATCACCACCAGTTCCTCATACATTTCTCTTAGTTCATTTCTCCTTAGGACCATCATGGCTTCACTTTCCCTGAGTTTCTCTACAACACATTGGTCTTCATGTGTCATACACTCAATATGTTGCTCTTCCTCTTCACAGGGGACTAGATACCATGTCCTATACTCCGTCCTGATCATTTCTTCCCGCTGAGTCAAGTATTCCGTCCACTGAGTTGTCATTCTCTCTTGACTCTAGATTCTCCTGATTTTCTTGGCTCTTCCCCCATAAAGATACCATTTGTTTTAGAAGTCTCTCCATTTGGCCCTCAGCAGCTGCCTCAATGGGACAGTGTGTGTGAGCACTGTGCTCATGGGAGTCAGAGCAGAGTTGACAGAGGTAGATCCTGTTCTCCACACAGGAGATCCTCTTCATCTCCTTGCGGGTCACAGCCTTTTGCTCCTCGGAGCTCAGGGACTTCATGAGGCTGGCTTGTCTGGCAATGGATACCAGCTTCTTCAGAACAATGCTGGTTGTGTCGGGATGGTTCCCTACACTTAGGGCAATGGACAGGAAGTTAGGTGGAGGACCACAGCTTATGGTGACTGGGTCTGTGAGGCAGCTCACTCAGATGAAGCAGGTGAGTTCTTCCTGGAAGGCTTGGGAGATGTCTGGCTCCATTTTCCAAGGAATTGTCTCTGGCCTCAGCTGTGTTTAGTGGGGACACAACAGTATCAGTTCGGCTTTGGGGTCCAACCCTCAAGGGCTGGAGGTGATAGATCTAGCTGTCTCGACGTGCTTATCAAATGATCAACATGGTGGAAGGGAAGGGTGAGGTGGTGGCGAGAGGAAGGGTTCTTCCTCCTTCCCCCCTTGGAGGACTGGGGCATCTTTCTTTTTTAAAACAGCTTTTTACGTAGTTTGTGTTATCTGATAAAAGTAGCCCTGCCCCTGTTCACACTGGATTTTCATTTTCATGTGCCAACCCGCACTTGTAGTTTGTGTGTCTTTCACAGGAAACAAGTTTCTTGTAGACAGCATATAGGTGGGGGTTTTGCTTCTTAAATCGATTTAGTTGCTCTATATCTTTGGGTCAAGGATTTTTAATCCATGTGCCTACAATGTTATTATAATATTTAAGTGTTTGTTTTTGCAAATTTGGTAGTCTGCTGGTTTTGTAGATTTTTTTGCATTATATTTTTGTGGCTTGGGTTATATTAAATATATTTTGTGTCTGTAGTGATGCTGTTTGGTTCCTTTGTCTTTCAGTTGTGTATGTGCTTTGCCCAATCTGTTTTAGTCTTTTGAGCCTTTACTTTGTAATAGCTACTAAAGATGTATGACTTCTAAAATAATTTATTATAGGATTAATCTAGTGACGATTAATTCCAATTTTTTGCAAACTTTGGAAGGCCATTGTTTCTGCTTGTACCTGGATTAAACCTGATTTGGAAACCCCAACTTTAGAAGTGCTGGAATTGCAGGTCCATACCACCTTCTCGAGCTTAGCGGCTGTTGAGTATAGTTAGTTAGCTGTTGATACCTCAACAAAATGAACCAAAACTTCTTACTTAGAAATTCTCAGTGATCTGATGTAACAGTGTTATGGTACCTATTTTTTGTCTTCCTCATATTTGGAGCCCTAAAAGTCTGTTCCTGAGGTTGGAGCAACATTACTGGGACTCTTAATGTGCAAGAAGCAAGCTGTAGGTATACAATGGCTCCACTCAAAAGCACACACCGCAGGTGCCGACGGGATGGGAGGGGGTGCAAACTTCCAGTCTCCACATCAGTGACTTACAAGTGATGGAAGCCCTGATATTTACCTTGGATGCACTTGACCTTTTCACACAACCTTGAGGAGGTCACTGGACTTTAGTAAGCACCAAAGAATTCAGAAGCAATGAAGCATGGAAACAAGATAACGGATTGTTATGAAATCTAGGAGACTGTGGAGTGAGTGATTCCTCTACAACCCAATTTCAGAAAGTGAATGTCTTTTAACGAGCTATCCCTGTGTAAACCAGGAACTAGTACTCAGGGGTTTACACTACTCTTGTACCAAAGGAGGAGGGTGAAGACAGTAGAGTTGTTTTCTAGCTTCTCAGAAGCCAGGAGAATCTTCTCTGTAAAGAGAAGACAGGGACAAGAGGAGCCAAGAGTCCCAAAGGAACTTGGCTGACTTCACAGAGCTTTTCAGGGAACTTTGTACCTGTCTCCAGAGACTTGCAGGATGGCATGCCCAGTGATGGAAAGGGACAGATGAAACACGAGACAGCCTGGCCAAACAGAGGGGAGCATGCAGGGGTGCAGGGAGGGGAGCATGCAGGGGTGCAGGGAGGAGAACATGGGGGAGCTGCAGGGAGGGGGTTTGCAAAGAGAAGAGCAGGCAGTGTGCCCTGTTCTTTTTTGTTTGTTTGTTTTGTTTTGTTTGTTTTTTACGAGACAGGGTTTCTCGTATTGTTTCAGAGGCTATCGGTCCAGCCTGGCCTCGAACGCACAGAGATCCGCCTGCCTCTGCCTCCCGAATGCTGGGATTAAAGGCGTGTGCCCTGTTCTTAAGGCCTCAGACTCCAAACACAGACTTCCATTCAGAGGTCAGGGACTAGAGGCTCAGACAAACTACCCAGCCTTTGTGCCTAGGGCGGTCGTGGCACATATCTATAGTTCTAGCACCTGGGAAGTAGAAGTAGGAACATCAGAAGCTCATGGTCATCCTTGGCTCTACTGCAAGTTCAAGACCAGCCTGGGCTGCATGAGACCCTGGTTGGAAAAAAAAAAAAACTAGTCTCATTGCCCACAAATACTATTGTGGCAAAGTTGATCAGACCGTGGGGTTCCAAAGAGGCCCCTTCTACTTTGAGAGTCACAGAGAAGGGCACCTGCCACTTCCCCAAACTCTGCTTATTTCCTAGTCTGACACCGTACACAGAGGCCAAATCCTATTTCCACAGGTGGAGTCTCACCACCCCTGGGGAAGGCGGAGGGTGGTGGCTTGTCCTCCCCAGAAGAGCTGCCTAGGTCACCGCACTTGCCCCATCAGGACACTCTAGAATGGCAGGTAAGGCATACACTGGTCCCTGCACTCGCACAGACTTGGGGAAAACTGGATGCTGAGCCGAGGGCTTAGCAAAGCAAAAAGAAAAGAGGCAATCATCATGGCGTAACCATAACAAATGACTGTGTCTAACTTCTACCTTTTTCATTATGTGTAAGTAAGCTCCCAGGGGCCCCAGACTGCCTGTGTAGCACTGAAACCTGCCCCCTGCTGGCGGGTTCTATAGGTGCACTGGTTGCTGTCTTCAGGTGCAACTAGCAGCAAAACACACAACTTGCCCAAGATCAGGACTCCTGATTTTCCAAAGTCCCTATCATCCCCATAAAAGAGCTGTGTTTATTCAGCAAAGCTCTAGGCATCCTGGCAAGCTGGTGGCCATCTGTGGTGAGACTTAGTAGACAGAATCTGCCCGTGGGAAACTTGTGCCCTTCCGGTGTACGGTAGCTGTTGAGCTGAATGACTTTCAGAACGTGTTCTTTCACTTTATAAATAAGGACACACATTGGTTCTCTCTCCCTCCCCATCGTTGTTGCTTGATGGAGACTTGGGCCAGGTCCTGGGTCTACAAACAGGAAAGTTAGTGGTTGTTTAGCTGGCCTGAGAACAGAGACCAGGTGTGTTGACTCTTCTGGAAGGCCAGGCATTTCTGGATTGGAAACTCTTAAGCTCCTAAAAAGAACTTGCTATTAAGTTGGAGATTTTCTTTGTTTTGTTTTAATTAGAGAAAAAATTCTAATGAGTTGTCCAAGAGAGACAGGATTACTGGTAATCTCCACAAGGTCAAGGGCGGCATGTCAAGAATGTGGAGGGAAGGCGGGGCAGCCAGGGAGGACTTTTCCCCTTCGCTCTGAGCCTTTCCTCCCAACACCTCAGAACAGGAGTCACATGGAATCTTACTCCCACCCAGGGGATACTGCTGACAGGAGACAAAGGTTTCTGTCCAGCCTGAAAGTTACATGCAGGCAGGAAGACTTTATTTACAAATTATAAAGCTATGCCTCAATGTCTGCCTTAACAATGTGAGGTATAATTTACGTAAAGGCTTTGGGAGCTTGTAAGATGCAAACCCCTCACGTGTGGGGCTGCTTCCTGCTTTGACTGAGCAGAAGCAGTGCCATGTGGGGGACAGACACCAGGGCCAGCTGTTCAAAGGGCTCAATGAAGGGTAGTAACAGAGTGCAGGCAGCACTGGGAAACTCAGGAAGGACCTGAGAAAACCCAGAGAGCCATAAGGTTCAATGGTCACGTGGGTCACCCAAGGCCCAGGGAGCACACCCAAGATGGCTGCAGCCAGAGAAATGCCCAGAGTTCCACCGGCAGTCCAGTCAAACCAATCAGTAAGTAGAGTCTAGAGAGCAGCTCCCTGAAGTCAGGGTGGGGAACAGAGTTGACATGGTGACCTGTATGAGTTCCTTCTAGGGAGACGTGGCCCTAGCCCCATGTGAAATGGAGACTGTTGGGGGGCCTGTAGTGAGGGCAAGAGGGATTTACAAGCTGTGATTGCAGGGAAGCGCGTGTCTGATTCTTAACTGACAAGCTGAAACAATTTTCCTTTGTGATTTTTCTGGAATGAACCATTTGGAGATCTCAGAGCATCACGGTCATTGGTGGCTAATGTTTCACCAACACTCACTGCCACACTCTTCTATCTCACAAAGTGGCTATGAGGTTGGACAACCACTGCAGTTCCCGGTTTATATTGATAGTTTCTTTCTGGCTTGTCACTAGCTAATTTGGCTCCAATGGCTGGTCAGCAAGCCCCAGATCACCTAACTCCAGGGGTTACAGGTGCGGGCTGCTACACTTGCCTTCTTTTATGTGGGTTCTGGGGATCAAACTCAGGTCCTCATGCTTGCACAGCAAGTAAGCAGCCACCCAACATCCAAACTCCACAGAAAACAAACAACAGAAAATAATACAGGAGCCAAGATTCCTGTCAGGTGACAGTTTATTGAAAGGAAATATTGCCTTATCCAGGAAGTCACTTGCATGGAGGTAGCTGTGATAAAAATGTCTTTTCTCCATGACAATGCATAGTAACCAAATCCTAATGAAAAAAGGCCCACAGAGTATCCAATTGTCATGGTAGAATACACTCTGAAGCAGGAGAAAGATTATAAAAGCCATACAGCGATTGTCATCTCTGCATTGCCTTTGGCAACATGCGTTTACACAAAATATTTTTAAGCTAGCTAAAGAAAATACTCTTGGGCAGGATTAGTTCTTAAAGCAATAAACTGAAAAGCATGTATACATAAGAAAACAGAGGAATGGTCACAGGGTCAGGTTGAGAAGGACGTGGAACCCTATTCCTCACCTTGTCCCCGGATTTATCTGCCAAGACCACAGGGAAGAGAGGAGCTTGGGACTTGCAAACATCTGTCTGAAGCTCAGCCTGAAGTCATGTCATGGCGCCAGCTGTACTGCTCACCGGCTTGCTGCCCACTCCACTGCAGCACAGGAGAACACGCGCCTCGTCCTGTCTAGCCTCCCTTTTGGGGGTGTCTCTGTAAGTGCTCCCAGTAGTGCCCTCTGTTTCTCAGGGGCTGCTATCCTTTGTGTAGCTGGCCCCATGGCTACCAGAAAGACCTGTCTGTAATGAGAGCTGGCTGATTTTGTCAAGCCCCAAAACGCCCCTTCCTCAGCATCTTGATTTTCCTCACCTGAATCGCTGGAGTGAGAAGACTGCGGCATTTCTAGGATTATTGAAGATATCTAATGAAGGCATGAAGTCCTAGGAGCCAAAGAATTTCTGTGAGTGCTGGAGGGGCCAGTCAACCAACTGCAGGCTGTCAAGTTCCCAAGAGGACAGAGGGCTCAAGATTGGGGATAGAGGGTTCAGCCTGCAAATCAAACTGTTAGCCACTCTCCTGGATTACAGAGGTGGCTTGTTTTTTTTTGAAATAGTGTCATCTGTGGTCTCCTACATCTCAGGCTGGCCTGGAACTGCATGTGTATCCAAGGATGACCTTGAACTCTTGACTCTCCAGCCCCCACTTCCTGAGTGTTGGGATGTGGCACCATACCTTGTTTATAGAGCTGGGGCTTAAACATGGGGCTTCGTGCATGCTAGGCCAGCACTGTTCTAGATGAGCCACATCTCCAGTCCAACAGACACTTACTCCAGTCTCTGCGTTTCCAGTGCCACAGTCTGTGCCCCACACACTTTGATGGACAGTACATATTTGTTAAATGGAGAAATGGCTACAAGGAGAAACCGCTCCATACCCGGTGCGGAAACAGAGGCGAGGGTGACAGTATTACAGTATTACAGGGCTTGGTTTCCTAGTAGCAAATGTTCACCCTTCAGCTCCCTTCACTTAAATCTTGTTGGGTGAACTCTGTGACCTGCACTGGGTAGGTCATGACAACCTGGTCCCCAAGAGTCCCCATAGCAGGAAGTTTGGGGACCCTGCTTCAGCGACCTGTCACCTCTGCCTTACACACATAGCCAGCTCACAAGGTCCTTTCATTGGTAGATGACCATGGCAGGTAACATAGGTAGGCCAGGAGATGTGCAGGGATGGCCAGCATCATCCCCAAGGCCACCATGGCATCACACGCTTGCTCTAGGAGCTCGAACTCATGTCACCCCATTCCTGGAAATGACCTTCAGATGGCAAGCACCCCCAATTCTTATTCCCATCATTCCAAGCCCCAGCTCAACACTACCCCGTCCTCTTCTTGTACATTCACTAGCTTTCAACAACAACTCTGTATTCCTCCTCATACCAGTTCTATACCCACATCTCCCTTTATCCTTTCCCCTCGAACTTAACGGATGCCTCCCACCTCATCCTCACATCTAAGTCCTCACATCATAGCCCCTCCTACTCCTCCAATTCCAGGCCTGAGTAAGCGTCACTTGGTGCCCTGCCATGGAGGAAAGGACCACTGAGACGCACCAACAGGACTCTGGTCCTTTGAGAAGCACAGCACTTGCTAAAAATCCCATCTATGTCACCGTTCTACCTGCTCGGAAGAAACTGGGGAATGGGAAGTGCTCTTAGCATGGTTTAGATAAAATAAGCAACCAAGGCCACAGACTCAGCCCTAGGTAAAAGCCCCCTCCCTAGCATCAATGAGCGGATTCCCAGTGCTAACTTTCCACTGTGTGACCACCTCTGATTTCCAGAGTAGCCTTCACTCTTCCCCCTTTGCCTCTGCTTTTTAATACTTGAGATCTGGTAGCTTCATGTTTTAAAAGATAATCCATATCGATATGTGAACTTTACAAAAAGCTCTGGAACATTCTAAAGTAGAACAGCAGCAGTCCTTGAGAAGGTCTCGTTTTAAAATATGTACAGTCTATACATGGGTGTGACTCCACTCCCAAGTCCCCGTTAGCACCTCGTGCTCGGGATGGCTTCAGAGCCCTCTGGGATCAGCAGGCCTGGAGGCAGACTCAGATCTGGCTGGTGAGGGTGCTGTCTTTGGGAAAGGAATAGCTCAGTGGTGCTTCATAGAGGCTTCCCCCATCACTGCTGAGGTCGTCGTCATCCGAGTCATCCAGTACTTTACTAGGCAGCGTCTTAAGTCTGCAGAAACACAAAGGAGATGTTTCTGGATCCTGACTCTGATTTGGAGATGGGGGAGAGTGCTGTTGGACTCCTGACCTCTACTCCGATGCATGCATATACATGAATTTGCCTGCACCAAGTGTTTTTCTTAGCAACAGGTGCAAACCGTCTATTACTCCTGATCTCTGTGGATGGGCAGTATAACCTATTTCTCCTATTGCCTAACTCCAAGATGGCTGGTCAGGGTTCTTATTCACTATGAGTCTCATACACTTTTGATTTCTGAGGCAGGCTCTTATATAGCCCATGTTGGCCTCAAGTATACAGCCAAGAATGGCCTCGAGGTTTGGATCCTCCTGTCTCTGCCCTTTTGAGTGCTGAGGTCACAGGCAAGTGTCAGCACACCTAGTTTATGGGCTGCTAGGGTTTGAACCCAGGGCTTTCTGCATGGGAGATAAGCACTCCACCAACTGATTGACATCCTCATACAATAATGTCTTAACATCTTCTGCCACAGAGTCCTTCTTACCGCTGACCTTGGGGTCAGTTCTAGTCCATGGTAGGATTCTCAGTGAGCTGGAGCCATCTGTCAGCTATAAGATCTACCTGGATTGGCAGCCTACCCCAAAGGCTGGTGTTCTGGGTGAGCATGAACCTGTGCTCACCCCTCAACACAATTTCTCCAACCCTGGTCCTGGGAAAACAGCCTCCAGCCCCATCCTTCATTTCCCTCAGAGCAGTTTGGAAGATCCTCATTCTTAAAAGGGTATAAATGAGAACTTTACTCTCCAGTCAGATGGGAGACACCCCTCCGTGGTGGGGGTACCCTGACCTGCTCTGTGCCTTGGGTTCTGCTAAATGCTGGTGAGGATGGCTTATAATGAACCTTATTTAACATGTGGGGTGACTCAAGTAGACACAGGCACTTTCTCCTCAAGGATGGGATGACCCCAGAGGGCAACAGTGGGAAACTGGCTTGAGGCCATGGGAGGAAGAGTATTCTGAAGGGACTCTAACAAGCATCATGGGACGCTACGGGCTTCTGTGGGCCGCCCCCTTTACCCACCGTAAGCCCTTCTTCATGGAGTTGAGCTGCCCCTGCAGCTGCTCGTTTACTCCTATCTGATCCTCCAGCTCCCTCTGGAGCTTCTTCTTCGAGCTCTCCAGTCTGTCGATCTCCTCTTCAGCCTCCTCTACCTGGCGCTTCATGGCTTTCAGGCGCAAGCTCAGCTGTGTGAGGAAAGATGGAGGTTGTGTGTGGGCTGAAGGTCAGCTGAGCTGGAGAAGCCAGAGCAGACACCCAGCTACTTCCCCAGGCACCCCGCCTCACAGAAAACGTGGGAGCACGCTGGGGGTGAGTGGAGCAGGGCACCAGGCAAACTTCTCCGCCGGGCCCAGAGAGGAGGCGGCGACGCTCTCACCTGGTCTTTCTGGTCCGTCAGTGACAGATGCTCGTCGTCCACCTGCATCACCAGCTCCTTCACCTTCCTCTCCAGCCTTCGGTTGCTGAGCTGCAGGTTGGCCCGATCCCTGTGAGCAGAGAAAGCAGAACAGAACACAACCCCTTACTCCCAGCCCAGGCTGGAAGGAGATGATGGGACTCCCCTGCCACGGGTGCCTGGTCAGGGTCAGAGGAAAACAACTATACAGGAAGAAAGGGCTGCTGGTGTCACAGGAGGGGAGATGGGGCCCCAAGGACTCTGCCAAGATTGCAGGGCCAGAACTCAAGTGACCTGGATTCTTCCACTGATGAGCTTAACCTTTGAAGCTGAGAACCATAGGCCACTAGTAGTTGGGGTCTATGTCAGCCAGACCTAGAAATCCTACTGAAACTATGTACATATGTGCCAGGAACCTTCAAAGAAGGGTAGGGGGCTGGTCAACTTCACTGTGGTGCTGATCATCAGGCTGGAACTATGTGGTTATCTCAAAAAGCATTTTGTTGGGAAGGGGCTCACTGGGGATACATTCGTGATATGTAGTTGGCAACTTCTGTTTGAATGTGTCTGCCATCAGGGCCACAGCAGCCCCTTCCTCCAATCTGGCTCAAACTCAATTGCTTAAAATGCATCCCATTTTGTTTACTAGGATGCAGACAGACAGTAGCCAGCTGCAATCCACTCGTAAGTTTCAATCCAGGCATAGTGCACAGGCAGGCCACATTATCACTTCCCTTGATATGGAGCTCACTGTTTCCATCTAAGAAAGGGAATGACTGCAAGCCTGGGCTTGGCTCTACCTTTCAGGGAGGCTGAAAGGGTGTAAGGAGACCCCCCCCAGCCCACCAGCCCTAATGAATGACCAGTGCCTGCCTGGCCCCCTGCCCCACCCCAGGCTGGCCTCACCTCTCTTCACTCTCTAGTCGGTCCTCCAGCTCTGCAATCCTGGCCTCCATCTGCACCACCAGGCCCTCTTTACTGGACCTGTAGGAACCTTCCAGGTGGACAATCCGGCTCTTTAGGTCTTTGTTCTGAAATCAGACAGGGGCCTGTGAGGGGCTCTGTTGGGCATGTTCTTTGGGCAGAGATGCATACTGAGTAGAGTCAGGAATTTGCTCAGTGCCTAAGCACCAGGGGAATCCCAAAGATTTCTTAGCTGGTCAAGAGAGACTCTAAGATGTTGCCTCCCTCCTGACGGAGGCATGGGCGTCCCCTTTAAGTTTTCTCGCTGACAGACTGGCGTGAGTGTGTGTGAAGGAACTGATCTTACTGATACTTCTCAGCCCTTTTATCATGGTATGAGTCTTTTCCACTGCCGTTAGACTCGTGTCCTCTCATGTCGACGGCTTTCTCATCATTGATCATGGTCAGTCATTTAAAAATATTGTGTTAAGATCTTATCTTTTGATGCTGAGTCTTCCATGTTGTACCCTACTTGGGGCCAGTTTCTCAGTGAGTCACCTTGTCAGTTATGAGTGGACAGAGCTCCAGTTCAGTGAGGACTCCTGAGCTGACCTGGGCCTTCAGCAGAGGACCTCAGAGTCAGTGTCCAAGAAAGGCTGTGGGAGAGCATGAACTTCATCGTGTCCCTCACCTCAGTGTCCCACATACTGACCCTTGGGTAGGGAACGCCTCTACCACATCCCCAGGAAGCCCAGCATGAGGAAGAGGGAGGCAGGACCCCATAGAATGGCTGTCCTCACCTGTCTCTCTAGGGAAATCTTGTCACACTCCAAGTCTTGCTTGGCAGCTTTCTCCTGCAGTAGCTCGTTCCGCATCTGCTCCATCTGCAACAAGCAGAGCAAAAGCCACAGGGTTAAGACTTGGTTCTCATATTCTTCGTACTGACACGATTTTCACGAGGGAGGCCTACGCAGTACCCAGCGTGCTGTTGCTCTTGGGTATAAGATCTTTTTCTTAGATGCTTTTGATCCTTTGACTGTAATAATAGCTAACTAAAAATAGCAACAGTCACTGTAGCCAAACATCATATACTGAATTGTTCTCTTTCCATATTCATCTTGTGGGCCCCAGGGATAGAGACCTGTGGGCTCTCCATGGACTATGGCTCAGGAACCATGGCTTCTGGCACCACAAGATTTGTCAGCTCTAGCTGACCTGAGGCATGTAAGGCCAGTCCTTTCTTTATCTGCACTACAGATTGGCCCTGTGCTGCTCTGCAAGCTCACACGTGCTTGGACAAAAGTAGTAGGAACCAATGAACAGACTATCCAGAAAGAAAGCCAAACACCCGACCTGAGGTAGTTTAATGTAATTGATCCCCATAAGCTCATAGGAAGTGGCACTGTAGGTGTGGCTTTGTTGAAGTAGGCGTGGCCATGTTGAAGGAAGTATGTCACTGTGGAGGTGGGCTCTGAGGGCTCCTATATGCACACTCAGTGTGCCTCAGTTCACTTCCTGTTGCCTTCAAATCAAGATGTAGAACTCTCCTCTCCTTCTCCATCACCATGTCTGCCTGCATGCTGCCATGCTTCCTGCCATGATGACAATGGACCAAACCTCTGAGCTGTGAGACCACCCCAGTTAAATGTTTTCCTTTACTTTTGGTTGTGAGTCTAGCCTTTAATGACCGAGCCATCTCTCCAGACCTAAATGTTTTCCTTTTGGTCACTGTGCCTCTTCACAGAAACCCCAACTAAAACAGGACCCCATGGACACTTAACTGAACATTTCACTAGCAGCCACAGAATATGTATTTGAATCATCATGTGGGACACCCTCTAGGGCAGTGGTTCTCATTCTTCCTAATGTTGCTTTAATACAGTTCCTCACATTGTGGTGACCCCCAAAACCATAAAATCTTATTGCTACTTCATACCTATAATTTTGCTACTGTTATGAATCATAATGTATATATCTGATTTGAGAACCACTGCTCTAAGGTAACAGGAACACACATTAGCCCACCTATGAGGTCTCAAGAGACTGAAAGTTTTGCCATTATTTCGGGTGTCTTCTTAGATGATGTGATGGTTTGAATGAAAATAGGCCCATAGGGAGAGGCACTGTTGGCAGTTTTGGCCTCATTGGAGGAAGTGTGTCACTGGGGTTGGGCTTTGGTGTTTCAGAAACCTAAGCCAAAGCCCAGTGGTGCCATCTCTTCCTGCTGCCTGCTGATCTAGAGGTAGAACTCTCAGCTACCTCTTCAGCACCATGCCTGCCTGCATGCCGCCATGCTTCCCACTGTGTTGATAATGGGCCGAGCCTCTGAACTGTAAGCAAGCCCTAATTAAATGTTTTCCTTTATAAGAGTTGCCCTGGTCATGGTGTCTCTTCACAGCAATAAAGCTCTAAGCTAAGACAGATGATAATGGAATAAAATTACAAACCCGAAAGACAACAGAAAGTATATAAACACAAAGAAACTAAATAACGCACTCCTTAAGTGACCCATGGTAACTGAAAAGGAAGTTTCTAAAAGTTTTACAAATGAAAATGAAAGTCAAATCAAATCAAAACGTACTAATTCAAAATCAGTACTGAAGGTAAGTTTATAGTAATAAAGGTATACATTAAAATAGATCATAACCTGGGTTGGGTTGCACAGGCTGTCCTAGCACTGGGAGGTAAGGCAGGAAAATTGGGAGTTTAAGGCCATTTGGTAGCCTGAACTACATAAGACCCGGTCTGAAAAACGAAATAATCAGTGGGACTGGAGAGAGATGTTGCTCAGTTGTTGGGACTCTGGGGCACCCATGCCAGATGGTTCACATCAGATGCCCTCCTCTAACCTCTGTGGGCACCTGCACAGATGCTCAACCCAACCTGTACACAAATAAGACCTTTAAATAAATTGGATCTCTAACAATGTACCTCAATGACAGAAAAGCACCCACCAACAAACCCTAAATTAGCAGGAGGAAAGTAAGATCAGAAATTACATTGACAAACCTGGGTCTATGAGATGACTCAGCAGGTAAAGGTGATCACCATCAATCCTGAAAGGTTCATCGTCTGGACCCACATGGTGGAAGGAGAGAACTAACTTCCACACATAACCCAGCACCCACAACAAATAAACATAATACAAACGGCCAATAATTTTTTAATTGACAAACCCACAAGACTAGAGAGACGGCTCAGCAGAATTCTTAAACACATAACACTGAATCAATAAGAAATAGAAAATCTAAACTGGAGCTGGAGAGATGAATCGGTGGTTAAGAGCACTGGCTGCTCTTCTAGAGGACCCGGGTCCAATTCCCACCACCCACATGGCAGTGCACAACTGTCTGTAACTCCAGTTCCAGGGGGATCCAACACCCTCATACGGACATACATGTATGCAAAACACCAATGGACACAAATAAAAAATTTTAAAAATATTTATAAAAAGAAAATCTAAACTAGTAACGAAGGATAAGATAGAACACACAGGAAACAGCTCAAAGCAGTCATGAAATATCCCCCACCTCAAAGTGTCCTGTGCCTATGGCTTTGTTACCGTATTCTACAACACAAGCCCTTCATGAAGACAGCATTACTAGAGACAAAGATGCAACTTCTAAAAAATTCCTACTGTCTCTACAGAACATCAAGCAAAATTTCTCCATTGAATATCAGCAGACTGAACTCAGTGGCACATCCTAAAAGTCATCTACCACAAACAAGAGAGATACATGCAAGGGAAGCAAGACACTCAGAATGATCAGCCCAGGGCCGTGATCAACATGACAGGACACACTGGTGGACCAAGACCATGAGGTCATTTCTATTGACAGGGGCAAAACATTTCAAAGGATTCTGTAGCCTTTATAATGGAGGGCCTGGCGTTCATTTTGTTACCTGAAATAAGTCAGTGCCAGAACACAATGTTACCACTCTTGTGGGGACTAAGGAGTCTAGAACTGACTGGAAAAGTGAAAGATGGTGGGAGAAGGGGATAGGAAATTGAATGAGGGACATCAAAACCACAAAAATGCAGTCACTGCTTCTGGTTCTTCCTTGGCACAATCAATTAGAACATGTTACGGTGATGACATCTGTAATATCAGCACCTAGAAAGCGGAGGCAGGAGGACTGTTTCAAGGTCAAGGTCAGCTTGAGCCCCATGGCAAGAGCATCTCAAAGATAGAGATTTAAAAAAAGATCCATTTTAAAATGACTAGGTAAATACAAAAGTTCCTAGCACATACAAATGATTAATGTCCCATTCCTCACTGAGGAGCTATTGAATGGTGACAGCTTTTAGGGTGGAACATTGGTCTACTTTAGGGGTTTAGTCCCTGGCAGGCTGACCACACAGCAGTGGATACCCCACACCCATGCATACACGGGCAGTACTAATCAGACTCAATGGGATATTAATAAAAGGGGGCACTTAACACACAAACCCACAGAAGAGTTTGGAATGCTCAGCCCTAAATGCGATATAGCACGCCCCTGCTCTCAAACCCCAGGGGTCTATGAGGAAGAGTAAGTGTGTGAGAACCAGAGGTGGCAGATAACTTTAAAAAGAAATTGTGTTGTCCTGACACAACAGGACAGATGCACACACAGAGACAGCATGTACAAGGCCTGCACAAGCTCGGGTAAAATCCTAGCATGCAGGAGGAAAGGTCGGTGTGAAATTGCACCCTAGCTTAGGAGAGATGGCCATTTAATTGCCGCCGGGTGAGGCAGAGTCAGTTTTCTTCAGTGGCATGATGACTGATATACTGAACACACACCAGAGAAGTCCCAATGCCTAGGAGTAGACAGCCAACACAAACAAGACTCCATGTTTTGTTATGTTTTTCCTTTTAAAAGAAAACATCATTGGTTGGGTGATGGTGGTGGCCGAGCACACTTTAGTTCCAGCGCTCTGGAGGCAAGCGGATCTCTGTGAGTACGAGGCCAGCATGGTCTACAGATCAAGTTTCAGGACAGCCAAAGCTACATAGAGAAACCCTGTCTTGAAAAACAAAGCAAACAAAAAAGAGAAAACACTAACTTGGGTGGGTTAGTGGGGGGAATATCTGGGCAAAGTTGAGGAAGGGGGAATGAGTACTATCAAAATATCCTGTATGCAATTTTCCCAGAATAAGTAAAATGAAAAAAAGGAAATTAAAAAGTTAGGAGCTATGGGGGTGAAATATGTTGTACACATGTATAAAATTCTCAAAGAATAAATAGTATTACATTAAAAATTATTAGTTGTTGAGATGGTAGTACTTACTGCCCTAACTAGAAAATGACCCACGAGTACATGTGTTAAATGACCACGATGTACCCTATGAAGGCATTCAAATATTAAGACACACACACACACAAAAGCACCCAAGTCCAGTTCCCTCAGGCCGTTCTTGTACGGAGCAAAGTAAAAAAGCCAGCAGTGAAGGGGCAAGCACAGAACACGGGCTCCGCTGGCCACTTCCTCCTACTTGCCCCAGAGCCCTCAGGAATCACATGCTACTGAAAGGCTGTGACTGCTCGGTAATAAATGCAGGCTCACAGCCACCCCAGACACGGGTGACAGGCATGCCTCCTAGGGGAAGCCACGCTGCTCACACCCTGAGGCACACTGTGTGGGAAGGAATTCACAGACAAGTAGCCTTGCCCAGCTTCCCCTCCCCGTTGGGCCCTCATTCACAGAACAGGGGCTGCAGGTTTATATACCTGGGCAAAGCAGCCCAGGGCCCTTCCAGCTGCCTGGAAGAGCAGATGTTGGTGACTGCCCCATCCTTTGGGATGTTGTCCGTAGAGCCTTCCAAGGAAGCAAGAGGACCCTGCCCCATCCTGCAGAAAGGGGAAATTGGTACCCCAAAGTGAAGGGATGCAGACCCAG